TTGTTCAACAAAAGATCTCCAAAAGATGCCGCTTGGAAAACTGAGCTTTTTGCATACGTTATTTCTCGAGAACGAAGAGCGCCCCAGCCAAAAAAAATTTGGAGCAATGTTTCTCAGGTACAACGAAGCCTACATGCCAAAATTCAGCTATTTTTGAACACTTTCAAAATGGCCAAAAAATCTAGGGGACGTTCTTGCACGTGGCCTTTCAATTGGCAGACTAAACACCGTATAATAAAACAAATTTAGTTTCCTAGCGTCGCTTCTCGATGACCATATTTCATGGAGAATATTAGCAGCAGAGGTAAGGAGGGCATAACGTTGAGCGGCATACCTTGGGCAAAACAAAACCAAAACCATGCAGTTGTAATTGAATATCAAACCAGTTGATATCCAAGCCAACGTTTCTGAAAATCAAACGGAGCGATGTCTGAGATTTTCACAAGATAATTAGATGTTATCAGGTTCATTCATGACCAAAATGCCATTAAGTCGAGTCTTGTGGACATGTTTTTCAATGAAATCTTAAACTATATTTGTTTTTGTTGTATTTTGACAACATTTCGAAATACATTTGATAATGAATATTAAAAGAATAAGACTACGACGTTTCGAAGTCATCTTGACTCCATTATCAAGTAGAGGTGTTAGCTGTAGTTTCGAGATTAAATACAAATAAAGGTGATAGAGTACATTAGAATAATAAATGTTTGGTTGTCATTGGTTTTGATGTGAAAGTGCATGCGCTATATGTTTAAATAAGTACGTTTGCACGTATTGATTCAGACTGTGTGTTTAACTTCAGTTTCCGTTCAGGAATAAATAGCATTTCTTGAATAAGGCAGTCCAGTTTTCCTCGGCATTTCTTAAGAACGGAAAACATTTGCCTTATTCAAGATATGCTATTAATTCGTGAGCAGAAACCGAAGTTAAACACACAGTCTGACTCAATACGTGCAAAAGTATTTATTTAAACATAATACCGCACGCACTTTCATGTCAAACACCAATGACAACCAAACACTTCTTATTCTAATTTACTCTATCACCTTTACTTGTATTTAATCTCGAAACTACAGGTAACACCTATACTTAATAATGGAGTCAAAGTCAAGATGACTTTGAAACGTCGTAGTTTTATTCTTTTAACATTCATTATCAAATGTATTTTAATGCCTTGAAATTTCACCCGCAATTTTCACAAAAACGCTCTTGTACTTTATTTTTAAATTCTGCTGTCGTCAAGACACCTATGATAAGTTGAAGTTCACAGTGTTGTATTTCCAAAATTACCCTTAATAATAAATTCAGTATTCGGTTCCATGTAAAATAGATTATGACTTTATTACGTTGCCATGGTAATTCAGATCTCAGTAAAACGTGCTTTATTCGTTCAAAATTGAACAGTATCATTACTCAAAAGTCCGATAGAGCCAGTGTGTTGGTAATAAAATATTAAATACACTGAACAGATCAGGATTTTTCATGAGTACTTACCCTATCAACTTTGACTATTTGAAAACGTTGAGAAAGGTCGGACGCTGATGTTGGAAGCCTGGAGCGGCCTGATACGAATCTCATGAACAACACTCGCTCATCATTGGAGAATGACTCTAATGTAGACCATAACCACATCACTAGAGGATCAGTTGGTTCAACTTCACGATACCTAATACCCAAAACGTAATAACGAAATGCATAAATTACAAATACATAATAACACAGACAAGATAGACTAGAATATGGAATAGTTAATTTAATAATTAAATTATCAAAGCGATTCCACAGAATTACATTGCGCGTTCTTGTTGCGCATGATTTTAAGGGATTTCCATCAAGCTAAGCTCAACAGCAAAATAAATGTTTGTTTGTTCCTAAATGATCCCCAGTTTTAATGGATAAAGTTTAATGATATGCGGTTGACTATGTTATATTGTTAAAAATTTTGCTTTGCTGTATAGCACATGTCTTTAGCAAATCCTGGTTATGTGTGCATGTAAGTGAATTCTTCAATTTGATTCATAATCTAAAATCCTTTCAGCTAAAATAGCTCACAAAGTAAGATCAAAGTCTGTATGGTTGAACGGTTCTAATACAGTCAAACCTCTCCACAACGGCCACCTTAGGGACAAAGGAAAGTGGCTGTTGTAGAGTAGTGGCCGTTATGGGGAGGGAGGTAGGGGCTAACATTGCACCTGTTCTTTTTTTCTGGGTGCTACATTTTTTTTGTTAAAAAATGCTTATTTTAGCATATAAAATTCAAAATGTGTCAATACAATGGAAACTAAACAGAAACAGAGACTAACAATGCATGGTACGGATAAAGTTTGGGGAGCTTTTACAATAAAAATGGGGTTTTGTATACACCTTTCGTTAGTTGTTGATTACCTGGTCGTTGTTGAGAGGTTATTTTGGCCGGTTGAGAATAGCTTTAGTGGCTGTTGCCGTTGTGGAGAGTTAGCCGCTGTAGGCAGGTCAAAATGAGAGTGAATATATAGACTGTCCACTGGGACCAAAAAAGTGGCCGTTAGTGGAGGTTCGACTGTAATTGGCTTTTTTCAGAAATTATAGTTCCCCTTTCTGATAACTAGAGTTCTTAGGTACAAATCAAAGGAAACTATGAAGAAGTCGTGGATACATTGCCTGCATACATTTACTTGATCGATAATTAGTTTATAGTTGATAATTTTTGAAATGACTTTTTGAAAGCCTTTTTGAAAGCTCAGGTAGTACACGTGCAGTGTAACTGGGCAAGTAAACAAAAATCAAATTACAGGCTGTTTATTCAGTGTACTTATAAATTTTAAAATGGAATATAATAATTAATTTTGATTGGCATTGGAAAAAAATATTTTTACTTTAACTTGTACATGTAGTGTCAATTGACTTCTACAGTCTGTTGCAAAAGAAAGCATTAAATAAAAGTTCACAATAATCACCGCTCCCAAAATTAACACCCAGTCAGAGTTGTGGGTCATAATATGTATAATATTAGTGAATCATCAGTGCATTTTGGGTCAAGGTAATTTGATTGTGGTGCTTCTTCAGTAAACATTTGAGTGTTGCAATATGAAAAGGCCGTATTGCAATTATGCAGAAAGTATGTCACATGGTTTCAACATTCATAACTTTAAGACAATCAGCTCGAGAATGCCAAGAATATTTTGCACAATTTTACTCTAGCGGGACACAGATACACTGTAATTGGCTAGGCTGTAGTGGTCTCCCTGCCTAGTAATAAAAATTTTATGTATATAAGTATTTTAATCAGTTAGGCAAAGTTGAATAAATAAATAAAAGATATTGCAAACATGAACAATTTGATTTTAGCTAACTGGTAAATGGGAATAGTGAGAAAAGTATTTCTCCAAATATTATAAGAATTATTTCAAACAGTTTTCAGCATCCCTCCCAGAAAGGGCTACTTGAAATCCCTGCCATGAAATCCCCTGCGACATCTTGCATAAAAAAAGTTCAATTTTGTTTTCGAATTTGAACCCAAAGTGAAGGGGATGCTTTATTTACAGTTATATAAGTTTTCTCCTCGTAACTATGCCCAGGGGGAGGGAGAAGGGACCTAACCAAGTTTTACACAAGGAGGCGCTGCCCCAAGGTCATTATACTTTCCCTTTTGTATAGTGTTTTTTTTTCCAGAAAAGGTTACCCTTTCATATAGATGTAGCTTTAAACTTGAAACCCCTTTCACATATCTACAGTAGACCCATTACTTCTCTATTCGTGGATAAATTAGCAATGCATGTTTAAAATCCCTGCCTTTTTGTCATACATCCCACCTGTTAAAAAGTGCACCTTGAGTCAACTATAGGGAGTCCCCTCAGCTTGATGCATTACAAAATAAAAAGGGTATTGCAGATTGTAATGTAAACAATAAAAATAACAATAATTTATTTCTTGGAAACAGAAATCACATTATTTTATTCCTATCTTGGCAATTGTTTGTGTTCATTTCACTAGCAATGCAGAAATATTCAAAACGATTGTTGACAGGTATAATTAATATCTATTTCAAGTTTTGATTACAGTTGTTTATGTATCTCGTTTCTAGACCAAAAATAAGATTACACATACATCACCAGCCACTATGCCTGTTTGACATGATTGGACAGTAAATCTCCCTCGCAAAAAGTAGATCTACACAGTCTCTTGGATGCTAATTTGTCTATCCATCGATCAAATGTTAGAGCATATTTACTCGATTGTCAATGCTGACTTGTATACCATTCACGAAGAAATGCTCACTCTGGTCGAACTGCATAGAATACAGAAGAAAAGTAGTGTGAAGAACAACAAAATTAAAAAAGATTAAGCAATTTGAATTTTTTGCTTGAAGTAAGCTTAAGCTTATTTTAAAATACAAAATAATTAAATCACGGGTTTTGAATTCAAGATACGAGCTCTGCCAGAATTTCAATGTGTACATAAAAAAAAATACAATACAGAAACAGGCTACCTTAGGCTTACCTTGGACTCTAGAAGGGGAGAAAGCGATTGGAAAACCAACAAATTCTCTAGCCAAGAAAACATAGGCACACAAGGCGTGCAAGAGTTATTTTTTTGTGTGAAGTTTCTGAGATAGGAGCATTCATGGTACAGTAATGATTTGGTAATTTTTTCTTTGGTTGTGATGTTACATTGGTCATGGTAAGATGGCTAAATAGTAGGCCATAAAATGTTTGACTGAACAAACTACAGTAATCTGACTTGTCTCCAGATTAATGTAGATACCATCTTATTTTCTAACAGACAATTTGATTCGTTCTTTGATACAACCTGGTGTGACACGCGCACATGCATAACTTCCTCACTCACCGATCACATAACCCTTCCAACC